CCTGCATAGTCAATTGTCTATTTAAGATTTCTTAAAGAATGAAATGTGTTTTTGTGTGATATGCTAGTTTTATTTGTAGAATGATTACAATTTCCTCTCATATTTTCACAATATATCTGATGAATAAATACACAATAAAGAGTGTTGACAATCTATCACGTGCTTTTCCCATTAGCTTGTCAACAACCCTTATCATGAGTAAGCAGTGGGAGTTTTTAAATGGAGAAAATTACAAAAGTTGCACTAGCTTTAAAACCTAAATTTTTACAGCAATTGATTTATGTTGTGCATTTTTTTTATTAATAAGAATATATACTAAATTTTATTAAAAATCAGTTGAGCCCATTTTCAATTCGACATTTCTGTTATTTTATGGGAAATCACTATCAAATAGCAGAATTTTCAAAAATCCAAAATTCTGGAGATAGCATGGATACCCTTATACCCCAAAATTGGACCAAAGGTGGGTCTGTAGCTCTCTGTAAACATCCCCACACACAGACACACACGCACATATACGATGACAACAGACATACATCACTTCGAAAACCACTTTTTTGGGGTTCAGGGGGGCCCAAAACGGAAATATCCACCAAAAACTCAAACTCAAAAACAAATTTTGACGAAAACAATACTTTCACCAATTCACCATATACTATGTATAGGTCAAGAAAGTAAACAGTATAAAAATTCACACCCGCAAATTTTATCACACCTAATTTGTGAGGTGCTTCAAATGGTTTTATTTGGTATTTAAAGCATTACTAATTAAACGATTATCAAAAGAAACTGTGACTCAGGATTTAAAGGAGGGTTGGATGAAAATCATAAGGCAACCTTGTTTCAAGACTTAGAGGTGGTTTACCTCAATTTCCTCTTCTTTGAATATTCCATTAATTTCATATAAAAAGTTTCTTTAACCACGTATTTTACCAGAGGGTTTTTTTATAAATTTTGTCCTTTGATTTTAAGGATGTGCTATCAATAACGTTTCAACTCAAATTCAGTATTATTATATTTTTACTTTTGCCTTCATCAACTTATGCATTTATTCTTTTAATGTGTGTGTGTGTTTTTTTTTAACTCAATAACCAACAATTTGGATTTCATAACATGAATATAGGATGTACATTAGTTCTGTTATCTATCTGATACATAAAAATTTGTATGCAAAACATTACAATATTTTAAATAGGTAGGGCCTACACATAACAATTGTTTATCATTAAATACTGTATAATAAACTATACAATTAACTATAATTATGTAATTAACTCCTTGGAGTGGTTATAGTGCTTACCGTACGTAACATTATGCTAGATGACATCATGTAAAATATATCATATTTAAATCATATGCATTTGAAATTTTGCTAGTTTAAATTTCTGTTGTCAGAAGGGTAAGGTAGGATTTGGGATCTTTTATCAATACAATAATGACACTATCTTACAAAGGTGGATAGTACAAAGACCAGGGGCGTGAGCTATTCCCCTACAAAAACACGATTCTTCCCAAAGACATTGAAAAACACAGAATATACCAAAAAATGAAACACAGGTGTATCTTGATGTTTTTGTTTAACAAGTCCTAATCTGTAGAAAGGGTAGAATCAAAGTATGTTTGAGTCACAAAGTCTAAATGGAGAACTGAATAATGTAGAACTATCCTGGGAATAAGGATCCAACACTAACAGCTAACAGCAGACACACAATGCTGTTTATGTTCATTGTACTTTTAGAGTAGGCTACACCAGGTGTATGTTTTAGGCTACTTGTCGTCTGTTACTGTCTGACCATATCAATTTTAAATTGTTTGATCACTATATAATATGAATAAAAATATAATTTGTTAGAATGAATTATGTTGCTATATTTGATAGTTATGCCCTTTGATTACCGACAAGTTAATTAAATTAAAAAATTATAATAGCCTAACTAATATCAATATCTATCACACCATTCTTCAAACTTATACAATATTGTTGTAAAAAACATTACATCAAATTCGATGGAGTTTTAACATCACTATTTTGTTTAACATGTTAATTAATCAAAAATACTTCAGCTGCAGCAACCTGCACACTAAGCGAATAGTCATTTTGACTGATTGGATTTTTAACGAAGTGCATTCTTTAAATATGTCATATGTATGTATTTAAATGACATAAGGTTTAAGGAGTACCTAGGATTGCTACTGTGGGAAAAGGGGCTTGTTTTGTAAAAAGTTAATAGTATGGTATAAAGTTATCACATTTGGCAAATGTAATAAAACATATCCATAATCAAACTACACAGTTTAATTTTCCTTCATAAGAATAACGTTTGAATTTTAAACTTACAGTTATTTGGAGTTTTATCTGTAACCATTAAGCTTACAACAAAGCTTCAAAGTACTTAAGTATTGCTCTGTCAAATAGTTGAAAAAGAAATTGCTAAATTTAATGTTTTGAAGGACCGTAATGAGAAACCCCTGTCCTTACCCCCATAAACCCAGTTCCTGAAGTCCATAGGCCTACTGGTTTCCGGGGGACGTAGATTTACAAATATGCACCAAATTTCATCACAATCGGATGGTTTTTACTCGAATTATCGTGCTAACGTATACATAAATATGTATTATTATACGTTTTGGAATATGAATTTGAATGGACGGCTTTATGGCCTCTGGGGACATCAAAACAAAAAAGGATTTTCTAATATTTATTTCCTATAGTGGAAACTCACTAAAATTAAACCATTAATATAAGATTATATCCAAATATATAATCACAGTACTTGTTTATTTGTTCTGTTAAATTCCAAAAACATTTTTAAAAGTCAAAAGTTGTAATACATTTTCTGTTAGATGACAGGGATCCGTTGACGTGAACACATTGCCCGCTTCAGATGAAAGATTATCTTACATCATCCACATTTTACCCCGAGGGGACGTTTCTTTAAAGTAAAATATGAAAACTAGATACATGTTCTAGAATTGGCTAAAAAATAGCTTTTAAAAGACAGTATTTATAATATCAGTGTGAAACTAAAATGTTGCATTATATGTGTCTCAGAATGTTTTATTTTATCCATTTAACTTATACTGTATCGTTGACAATATTTAAAAAAAAAATCTATACATGGTATTTATGTGCATAGTACAGTATAACTGTCTCATTTAAAGATTTTGTTGGGAGTTGGGCAAGTTATTTAAATTTATTTATGAATGATGTATGTAAATATGCCTATATCCTGCAACACTTTCTACATAGGTTGCAGGATAGGCATATTTATAGTTAATAGAAACGTATTAACAAACTATTCTATTGCAGAGTATTTACATTCACTTAATTTATATTAAATGTATTAAAATTCATTGTAATAGCTCCAAACCACTACAAGTCAGTCACATTAATTTAATTAGTAGTCGTAATGGAGTTTAATTGTGCAAAACCAATCATAGTAGGTACTGGCCAATATGATTAATTACTTTTCAGTTATCCTGCACAGCTATGTTCTATTTTAACTATCGAAGCAACTTATTTCACAAGCATGTTCTTGAAGTTCAATATACAGTTCTGATTGCTAGAGATTGGCCAAAGCCAATTTACTGTTAGAAAGGTAAAGTCACTGGGACGGGTTACCATAAAACATTGACACATCCTTTCTCTGCGCATATAACTCTTATTGGAACCTAATTTTTCATTGTGTTTTGCAGTGTAGACAAAAATAACTCATAAATTACAATTCCTTATTTTAGCCATTCCCTTGTCTTTAACAACTATTCAACTTTCAAAAGTTTCCAGTTTCTATTGTTACTTTCTCATAAAAATGTGACGGATCGGTGCATGCATTAGGTTTGACCAATGTTTGAATATCATGTTTACAAATTTACAAAATGGGTTAAAAGCTGTTACGCAATACATTATTTCTCTAATAAAGAGTCCATTTTTAGTAAAAGCCAAAATCTTTGCCAGTAAGCTATATTTTAACTATACAAATCTTAATTAATGTTATTAGTTTTACTAAAAAACAGCATTAGAGCTTTGTTGACAGTTTTTTACTTCAAGAAATACCGCCTTCCAAATCCCAGGATATAATATAAGCTCTAGATGCTAATAATGTAATGTCTACAAAAAGGCACCAGTAATGGACTATAAAAAATATTATTAATTTATTTATTACTAGCTGTACCCGCGGGCTTTGCCCCGTTTTACTTCATAAGTGAGCTCGTTCACATGGCTCAATCACGTCCTGGTTGAAGTTCGTTCGCTACGCTCACTCACCTTTTGGTTACAAATTAGCTGTAAATTAAAAAAATAATAATAGTGCTGCACCCTGTTGGTAATCCTTGTAACTTTAATGCTATTACACATCATAAAACTGAACCAACTTGTTTAATTTAAACAGCTGTTAAGATTCATTAATTCCATTTAAATATGAGTATTCATAAGGTTAACATGGGAAACTCCAGAGCCACTGGGGCGGAGCCCGAGAGTCCGATCAGAATAAAAACAATTTAGTTTTCCTATTTAATGCCTAAAGAATCAGTGTACCAAATTTCAGCCTCCTAGGTAAATAGGAAGTGGGAGAATTAGTGATGAGTGAGTGAGTCAGTCAGTCAGTGAGGGCTTTGCCTTTTATATATATAGATTTAAATTTAAAAAATTATCCATTAAAATGTCTTCTTAAAACTCAGTTTTGTTTTTGATTAGAATAACTTTAAGTAAATTCACTACGCTTGATCTGTAATAATGTGTCTAATGTAAATAACAAGCTAAATTACAAGTAAGAACGTTCTGTACAAGCACAAGAGAAATACAAATTTGTTCCCAAGCTATGGAGCACTGCAGTATCATACTTTAGCTCTTTTGTCTTCTCTTTTGAAATATTACAGTAATATTCTCACTTTGGCTGCATTTACCTCTCAAGTTAGTTTTTCCTTTATGCATTACAAAGATACATAATGGTACATGAAAAACAATATAACATATACATTTATAATGAATTGTATATTTATTTTAGAATTCATATTTAACAAACAATATGAAACCGGAGTAAAGTATAAAATGTTTGTTTCAGACGACAATTTATTTTATTGATGTTTTATTTTTAAGGTTTTAAGCAAATTTTACGTCACATTAAAATATTGTGAATGTAGTACATGTTAAAAGTTAGAGAATGAAGAATTTTTTCCAATTAGAATAAGTCATATCAACACCTTTCTTGACAGTTCATCAACAAATTGTTCTATTTTGTGACCCTAAGATCATTATACTGAAATACTGTTATAAAATCGAAAAACTCTACATCAACATATAACATATAACCAAGTAGATTTAAATGTACCTAATCTATTCTGTGGTACTAGGGCACTAAGGCACACACGTTTTCTCAAAAATTAAAATCTAGTATTGAATGTCCACAACAATTGATAAGCTATATTTGGTTTCAAATTTAAATTCATTGTTTGTTAAGAAAATCATTGTTTAGTTTATATTTAGATTTGCAAGGTTAACTGTAAGAAAGGACCATGTAGTCCTAACTGTTCGCCTCAATAGTCAATGCTACCCACGGGCTTCACCCAGTTTCACTTCATAAGTATTAATAAAACTATTGATTGGTTAAGTTAAGCTGAAATAAACAAAACAGAATACAGTAATACAAACAAATAATCACACCTGGTGTACACCTGCGTATGTTTTTTGGGTTTCTTCATATCCTCTCTCTCTAAAAATGCTCTCTTGTTAAGTCTATTTCATAAAAATAAAATACAAATATAATTAAATGGTTTAAGTATATGGTGGGCAGAAAAGAATTCTTTAAGGAAATATATGGATTATTCCAACAAATAATTATTAAATTTGTTTTTTAAATTAGTTAAAATTTCTTAATTTTTAATTTAATCTGGTAATTTTGTCAAGAATTTTAGCCCTACATAAGGGTTTTTTTTTTAAGTTCATTTATGTCGCATTGGAATGATGCATTTTTAATGTCTGCTATTGTAGTCTACTAGAGGCTTTAAAAGTCAAAGTGTTCTAAGTAATTTTTTTAGATAGTTGATGTGATATACTTGTCCATAAATCGTTAAATAACCCAATTCTTATATTTATCTTTTGACAATACATTTGCACCGCTTTCAACGTTGTAAAACCCCAATTTTATTATAATCCATAGCTAAAACATTCAGTTTAAGAATACTGTCCGTATTTGATTTTGTGGTTGAACCATAAAGGCAAAAATATATAAATGAGAATGAGTATTCCCAAAATGTATATATTTTAATGCTTTTCTTTATTCAAAAAGGATGGTATCTTAAAAAGTGAATGGATTTCCTAAATTAATTTGGATAATCTTCATGTTTTATCTACATGTTTATTCCAGCTTAAATTGTTAAATGATCAATCCTGGAAACTGTGAGCTAGCTTTATTTGCAATTTCTTGTTTATTGTGTCAATTATTTGTTCGTTTTGTTGTGTTTTGTATACTCTGCAGTTAGTTTTTTTCATTGAGTTCAATTTATTCCAATTCACCAAACTCCAATGTTGGTTCAACAAAACTCAGGATCTCAACCTAGAGTGTAACAGCTTGAGCTTATACTTTCACAATATTGTGTTGTTTAATGAGATTTGTGTCTCCCTTTTGGTTTGGGTTTGGGTTATTACTACAAACTTACTATGACTCGCACAGATATTATTTTAACAATTTCAGATTTTTTTGGTTAAATCTAAGATTTGTAATTTATTTATTGTGATTGATACTGTTATAGCATATTTCGTACCAAGGGCCGAAAATGAGGTTTTGCCGGCTCGAGATAGTTTTTAAGTTCGAGACGAATCGATCGAGAGCTGCAAAACCATTTCGGTCCGTGGTACGAACGCTATTTTTCGCCACACTATACCCTATTACCACTATATTTACCACCATAATAATGCACACTGATAGTCAACACAACTACAACTTTAAGGTTATGTGAAGAAATAATTTGAGGAATCAGCAAAAATAAAAATAAATAGTTGCTAGGCAACGGTGACAATAACACAATTCTATTGCAATGCTATGGATTTTGATTGTGTATTTAAAATGCATTCATGTTTTAAGTAAGTAAGCGGCCCCGGCCTGTAAAAACCTGCTCGGTCCCCAAATTACGATGACAGCTGGCATGGCCAGCAAAACGTAACTTTCAGTCACCAATTAACGTATGTAATACAGCCAAAAACATCATAGTGTGGTGAAATAGTATATTTCGTACCTAGGGCCGAAAATGAGGTTTTGCCGGCTCGAGATAGTTTTAAGTTCGAGACGAAGTCGAGAACTCAAATCGATCGAGAGCTGCAAAACCATTTCGGTCCGTGGTACGAACGCTATTTTTCACCACATTATACCCTATTACCACTATTCACCACTGTAATAATGCACACTGATAGTCAACACAACTATAACTATAAGGTTATGTGAACAAATAATTTGAGGAATCAGCAAAAATAAAAATAAATAGTTGCTAGGCAACGGTGACAATAACACAATTCTAATGCAATGCTATGGATTTTGATTGTGAACTTAAAATGCAAAACAATATTATAAGAATAGCAGTACAGTAAGTAAGCGAACAGCTGATTTTGCGGCCCGGCCTGTAAAAACCTGCTCGGTCCCCAAATTACAACGACAGCTGGCATGGCCAGCAAAACGTAAGTTTCAGCCATCAATTAACGTATGTAATACAGCCAAAAACATCATAGTGTGGTGAAAAATATATTAAGTAAATTAAACAGTCAAATAAAATGGATGCGTAATAGATTTGATTATCTTTTATACAACCTTCATAATTCCAACTACTGAGACAGCTGCCTTGCTATACCTGGACTTCTCCATGGATGCGTAATACCTTTGATTATCTTTTATACAACCTTCATAATTCCAACCACTGAGACAGCTGCCTTGCTATGCCTGGGAGAAGTGGTTTATAGTATTTATTCCTAAATACCTTTGGAAACCTTGGATCGCTGCTTATGTTCTGCTGTTGCTCCTTCGTCAAACTGCTCACATCAATAAACTCCTCTGAACCCCGCATGATGAAGTTGTTTATAAAGCAAACAACCATGAGTGCCCAGTCAGAGTGAGTTTTTAGGTCTTTTTGAAGAGTTTCAAAAGACATCCTCTCTTTACACTTCAGGTTCTCTAAAGTTTGATTAAGTGTCTGCAGATATATTTTGTAAAGATCTTCAAGATTTTCTCTTACGTCTTCATTTGCACTGGTCCAAGTGAAGAATATCAAATCTAAGACTGGGGACCCATACCTGGTGAGTTGGAAATCTAGAAATTTTAAATTACTCACTTCTGCGGATTGTGTGTACTTGAACAGTATATTGTTGATCCAAATGTCTCCGTGGTTCAAAACGTTTAGTGAAGCTGGTTTTGGTTTAATCAAATTTAGCGTTGATTCCCAAATTCCATCAGCTTTGCTGGTAAGCAAATCAGCAAACTTTCTGTCAGCATTAATTTCAGCCAGAGTCTTTGCACATTCACTAAAAGAAGATTCAGCCCACTGTTTCATTCTCTCCCCAACAAAAAACTTTTCCTTTCCTATTTTATCAACAAGTTCCGGATTTTCTTGATAGCATGCTACTGAACCCGCATGAAACCTAGCTAAATTTTCAACTACTAACTTGCAATGAGCAAAGTCTAACCACACTAATCTGTCTTTTAATACATATCCAGCAGGTCTGAGATCTTCCAGTATAAGTCCATTTTTTATTGAACACGGATACGACTTTGGGTAAAAATCACAATTCATCTTCTTTGACATATTAGGTAAAAGTTGGTTGTAAAGAAGTGGTTCAGCTCCAAAAAAGTCGAATTTCTCTGAAAGTTCTTTGAACATTCCTTGGCAGTAAGGTACTTTGATGATAAGTGAGGTTGTTCTAGCATCTGATTGGTCGAGTTGGTATTGTACTTCCACCCTGAAGAGGTTGCTGGTGTAGTTATCACCAGCTTCTGTAGCAGGGAAAGCAGTAAAGCTCCTCACAACAACCCTCTGATCCACTCTGAGAGCCGACTCTAGCAGAGATGTGTTGAGCCAATCAGGATACTCCATCTCTGAAACAGTGCATAATATGGAGGAACAGAAAACTACATTTAAATCACAATGTTGACCTCTTAATAAAAATACTACAGTACGGTATGCTATTGATTCTGATAAGTTGAACCGGTATATCTGTTTGCCTACTTTTTAGTGAATTTCCCATTTAGAGAATAAGATATTACCGTATGTCTCATGGTAAGACCTGGGTCCGGGACGGATTTAATTGTTGAGGTCCCAGAGGCCAAAATTTAATTCTTAACCATGTGTAGCAAACACGCCCGGTTGATTTGTTTTAACTACATTTTAAATTCACAATGTGGCTGAAAAGTTTTTACCTAGTTTTAAATGTTCATCACCAAAACCCCATATAATATGGTTTTTGTAGCTCGTATTGTCGGCTGTTTTAAGCTACAGGAGGTTCAAAACAAACCAACTTCATTGGCTTATTAGTCGAAATTCAAAATTATCCGTTGAAAACAAATTACTTTTGTACAAAATTATATTAAAACCTATTTGGACTTACAATATCCAGCTCTGGGGAACCACTTCAAACTAAAATATAGAAATAATTCAAAGATTTCATTCCAAAACACTAAGAACAATTTTACAAGCACCCTAGGATGTTTCTAATAAGGTTATTCATCAAGATACAACATTATCTTTTAGTAGAGAATAAATAAAAAAACGAAGCGAAAAATATCAAAGAAAATCGTCCGAATTTCCTGGCAGTTAACTTTTTGTATGTTAGTGCACTCGTTGGAGTGTAATTAACTCATGTTAAGTTGTCATGACGTTTACTTATCATTCTAGTATAGAAGAGATTGTACAAAAATACTTGTTTAGAATATACCCCCGCTGCAGCACACCTGCCAACTAAGCGAGTTTCCATTTACCTTGATTGATTTTCAATTAATCTATTAAATTAACATTTATGTTTAACGAGTACCTAGGTTAGCTGCTACAGGGAAACTAATAAAGAGTGTTCTTTATTAAAATATCAATAGCTTAGTATGAAATAAATAAATCCGCCAAGTTTGATCAAAATATATCCATAAACGAGCCAACTACAACATTTTACAATATTCTCCAAAAGAATAACATGGGAATTTTAAAATAACAATGTTTCAAATTTTCTCCGTAACCAATCACCGTACAAAAACACTTTGATATACAAAATTATTTGTTTATTTAAGACGTTTAAAAAGATTTGGAGAAAAATTAGTACATTTTGAGTTCTAAGGGTAAAGAATGAGAAAACCCCATTTTTACCCCATAAAACCCCCCGTTATACTTTATACTTTCTTATGAAATGGCGACCATACTATGTAGGTATTTTAAGCCAAGTATGAATGGAGATGAGTGTAGGATGAGTGGCGCGATCTTGTAGTCTTGTTAGTGACTAAGGCCGACATTCCTTAGACACAGCTGTTAATTAATAGCCCAAACAGCTAATGGCAACTAAAGGGACCTACAGTTTATAGTGGAATCCGAACCACATTTTTTCCTTGGTATATACGAATTGGTCTAATTATCAGGATTATATAGATATACATACATAAAAAGTTTTACGAATGGTGTTTTTGGCCTCTGGGGACATCAAAATGAAAAAGTAAATCGGTCCTGGGCCTAGGTCTTACCATGAGATGAGACCTACGGTAATAGCTACTTCCCTATAGGGAAATTCGCTAAAATCTGTTAGATTTTTTTATTGTTTTAGTTTGTTTGTTTACTTTTGCTTGAGTTAACCACCTTTTTATTCTACCAAAAAATGTCTATATATTGCATCAATTAAAGTGACAGTACGTTTTTCTTATAATGTGAGATAGTGTTCAATCCTCTTAATTCTGTTTGAATTGTTCACTTATTAGTTTAGGGTGACAAAAAAGTCTGGAAACAGCTTGATATCTTTTTAACTAAATTCGTTAGAATTGAAACCTTTCACGGAATATAGCACAGGCCTTAGTATTGAGAGATGAAATTGTATTTTAAAGTCAACTAGCTCTTAGACTAAGTTTAATCAATCTTCAAAACACATTTATCCGGGATTCAGATTTCCCGGCTATGTTGACTATGAGTATTTACCAATACGAAGGCCTGTGCAGGAATATTTCGCAAGAACTTTGGACTGCCGCCATTTTGTAACGGGTGAAACATTTTTGACGCGGTTTCCAGCAATGACCTCCACTTGACCAGACCTTTTTGTGCATATCAACCTATGCTTACATTAAAGATTATGTACCTACTCCTCATGGGCCGTCCCCTGGTGAAGGTAAAAGAATGCTAATGCTTGTAAAAAGTAGTTTTCATACATATGATTTGATGTGAAAGGTTTCAATTTTCTAACGAGTTTAGTTAAAAAGATATCAAGCCGTTTCCAGACTTTTTTGTCACCCTGTATAATTATATGTGTATACAATTAAGTGACACAAGAACCGTAGAGTTTTGACGGAGCCTCGTGTGTTTCAACTGGGAAAACCTCCCGTAAGTATGGGGAATTACTCTTACTTTTCTAATTCATTTACATCGAGAACAAAAGCTTAATCATCCAGCGGTTTGCATTGGACAAGGCGGTGAAGAATCTCTATATCTTCTATGCTCTGTTACCTAGATTAAAAAATCAACTTTACGCTGACTATTTTATTGATTGATAGATATTTGTATAACTAGTAGGAAAATTATCAGACTTACATAACAGTTTGAATAATTTATATGACAGTTGTAATGCTAATTAATTGTTTGATCATTTACTTTTTTCTATAGTTTAGGCGCAGTGGTAGAGCATGCTGGTTATGGTATATATGTCTATTCATACTATAAATTAAAAGAGCCAAATTACCTATCCAAAAACCGCGTTCTTCCCCCGTTGCAAATATAAAGCAAGAGTATAAATAGGCTAAAATAAGCTCGTTACACTTATATGCCAACCTCAAGCGAACTCTGCTAGTGGAGAACAAATAAACCGTTGTTAAGTTTGCTTGTTTGTTTTATGTACATTAATGATTTGTTCATTTCATATGGTACTAAGCTATCAACATTTTAACAAAAAACACCTCATTACCTTCCCTGTAGCTGCAAACCTAAGTACTCTTTAACATTAATTTTATAGTATTTAAATAGGAAATAAATTTGACAATATTAAGGGAATATCTATTTTTTAGGAAATCTAGCCAGGTAAATGGGTGTTCACTTAGTTTGCAGGTTTGCTGCCACGAGGGTATTTATTTAACTATTGTAATGACAAGGTTATTGTAGAGAGGAATAAAATGATATTACAGTACAAACGCCAATGTATCAATTATTGTGTGTCTTATAAAAACTTAAGATGCATCAAAAACACACAAAAATATATTTTCTAAATTAATTATAAACTAAAACCGAATTTAAATATAATCCGTTTTATTATTGAGTGTATGTATGCCAAGATGTGAATATTTCTGTGAACATCTTGTAAAGATTAAACCAACCAAAACATTGACATAGGTGGATTGCCACTTGGACCTCAGCCACGCCACAAATGGAACACACTAAACTTGTATACCGAGTTTTGATCATCTTGCCTTCATGCATAGGACAGTAATTCGACACTTTTTTTGGTTAAATTATTTTCTTCATAACACCATTCTCCTACAAATTTTGTTCTTGAGGCGACTTACATTTCCTACATGGAATTTTACAACTTACTTTAGAAATGTTATTCGTGTAGGCATTGCATTAGAGTATGTATGTAAGTATTTGGGGATTTTTGATTGAAGTTATGTCACGTTTTTCATCAGTTTCTACCACCAGTGGCGATTCCAATGTCACTTAACTACCTTACAGTATCCAATACAGTGTGCAAATGCTTCAATTGAGTCCATGGATGATGATAAGTTAGTTAATTTTAAGATAAAAAATGTGATAATTTGATTTTAAAATAGCTGATTACGGAGAGCATACTGCCTCAGATAAATATTTACAACAATACTATTTCTCTGGTATAGTAACATTGATAAAAGGAGTATAGACCTATAGTATAGATTTATGATAGTAACCAACCTTTATTTACGATTTCATTCTAAATGGGTGTGAACTGTCTAGTGTAGATTAAAAATATTCTTTACCATTGTTAACTTAAAAATTCATGACTATGTATCACTTAATATTATTAATGATCAAACAATAAAATAGTTTATAAAAATGATATAACAATGTTATTTTCTAATGTACTGACATATAACTTCTAGATCTAAGGTCTGTTAAAATTCAATAAAGTACAGCGTAATAGAGAACTGTAGACTAGTGTAGAGAAATACACTCACCAAAGCTGGCTGAAGTCACTTAAGTTGTCAATTGACTCTTGACACAGTATCAAAACATGAATCAGCTGTGTTGTCAGCTGACTGCTAACTGTGAGCACACTTCACATTATCAGCTGTTATCTAAACAATGTTATCTATGTCACAGATTAAGTTAATCTTGCCTGAAAACCAATATCAACTTTAGGTGAACTAGCTGTTACCCACGGGCTTCACCCCGTTGACTTCATAAGTATTAATTAAACTATTGATTGGTTAGGTTAGCTGAAATGTATTACTGTATTCAGTAATACAGTACAAACAAATAATTACACCTGATCATGACCAACATTTTAAGTATATGGTTATGGGGTGTGACTTGCAGTTTTCTCAAAAGTTCATGGGTACTTTGGGATTTATATGTGTATATATATGATGTTGTTGTATATGAATTTGACTATTAAAATGTGTCATGCAATTTATGTTGAATAATTAAATACATTTTATTCAAGTGTTCGGTATACTTTCTCCCATTAGCTTGTCAACAACCTTAATCATGGGTAAGTGGTGGGACTAACTATGATATTTTAATGAGAAAAATCACAAGTTGAAATAACTTTTGAACCGTGATGTTTACATCAATGGAGGTTGTATGAGTTTGTTTAGAAACATAATAGGCTATACTAAATTTTAATTAAAATTGGTCAAGCCGATAGTTAAAATGAAAACTTTGCTTGAATAAGGTAATAGCAATGAATAATAGTTTTTGTATTCATTGGTAATAGCTTGTTCCCTAAATGGGAAATTCGCTAAAAGTACAGATAAAGCAAACCTGCTTACTAATCCAATTTCAAGCAGCTGTATTTTCGACCTAACATTAGGTAAGTTAATTATTATTGTGTTGATCTATAGTCTGTATTTGCTAAACAACACCAATAGAAGTAACACTGCTTACAGATATTTTATCAGTTCTTGATACTTGATGTACAGTATTCTCTATGGAGCGACATTATAATGTATCCAAAAGTGAATTGTCTGTTTAGTGTTTACTAACCCAAAATGAACTAAGTTATTCATTGTTCAAATAATATATATATATATATTTAATCGTAGGTTTGATGAATAAATCATGCAGAAAATTTGATAATTAACTAGTTTCAAAAAATTTAAATGTTAAAACTCCATGATCACCGCCTGCTTGGAACATGATACCACATACAGTTTGGGCTGCACTGCAAATAGCTGAAACTTAAATACAGGCGTACAAAAAGTCTACGAAACTGATGTATTGATAATATTTATAAATAAATACACTGTTTATATAAAATTAAAAAAGACCAAGTGTTTTTAAGTTCAAATTTGTTTTGCACTTTTTCAACAAACATACATAATCTACCAGGAAATGTGGGGTTTTAATTTTTTATCTGTTTTTCCCCGTTGACTATACGTCAACGCAGTAAAGTATGTGGGTTAGATAATGAATGAATTTAAAAGATTGTCTATGGTACTAACTGTAAAAAATTAGGTTTAAGAAAACTTCTAAAATTTAAAAATAGGTGTACTGCAGTTGTTAAATACTAACTATGTTATTCAAGTTGAATCATCAGATATCACACTAAATATTAACAACCTATTTATATGAGAACAAAACATGTAGAACGATCATGTGTACCATGTAGCAACTTTGTACCATGTACATGAACACGATAATAGTCTATGTATACTGTATGGGGAATAATAAGTCTTCCAGGTTAAAACCTACTAATACGCTTGTAAGATGTGCACGGTGGCATACAAGCAGTAATATTACCTTAGCTGATACTAGCACAAGCTAATGCTAATAGCGCGCCGTCCTAATCTCCTCATTGTATTGGGTCGATCCATTAAACTTGGCCTGGGACATTAACTTAATACTGTTCGTGTCTGTAGTTAGTAGGTCTATCTATTAATATAATAAGCTAATAAATAACCTAATGTTTTGCCAATTTTTGGGATTGCTATAAAGAATAGTTTGACACGTGTTATCGGGTTACAATCCTCACCTTGGTGGAACCCCCATCTTAATGATTGATATGTTGAATACTACATAAATACTTCACCTCGAGTCGTCATAGCGCAAGTTATGAATTAAGATTATTTTATAAGTGTATAATGATTGTCTCTATACCAAAGATTATTATGTACATTGCTATTAACAGTGACGTGGTTGAAAATATAACTGATCACTTTATAATGCTTTGAGGCCTAAGAGGTAATATTACTATAGTCTGATAAAAATGCTTATCTCCTAGAGCGAGAAAATATTACAGAGAAGAAAATCTTATATATTGAAAAATGTGGGTTTTCTTTTCCGAGTTCGTTTGGCTCTTCTACCCGACCGATTTTCATGATTGGGGTCTCGAATTGAAGGTATGCACGTACAGATTTGCCATCAAGCATCGGCATAAATATATCTATAATACCACTCGACATATATGTAAACGAAATTTGCTCCCCATGTATTTCTTATGGGAGTTAAATTTGAGTATTCTTTGCCAAGTTCGTTTGGCTCTTCTACCCCACTGACTTTCATGATTGCGGTCTCGAATTGAAGGTATGCACGTACAGATTTGCCATCACGCATTGGCATAGTTTGATTAGTTTTTGAATTTACGATTACTTCAATTTAAGATGTATTTCACCAGTTATAATTATATAATCCTATATATTTTTGTCTAAGAACCTCCAGTGAAATACCGGCTTTCTTTCAAGCTGTTAGTTATTCAAATCGGACCAGTTTCAAGCAAACGAAAGGTGAAAAACCAACATAAAAATTATTTTTCATAAGGGTTTTCTATGATTACAAATCAATAGCTCATTAATTGTTCATGTTTTTTATATGTTTTAGACTCAAAATAATCAGTAAATTATGGGCTTTAATTTGAGCTACTGATCGTTTAAATACGTTAAGCTCAAGATACTGTATTGCTCAATCAAACATCATAAATTTGATTATTTCTCGGATATTATATTTATTTTAACACTGCGGAGCAGCATGGGTCCTCTAGTAATATTTATTTTCATTTACCGTAAAACAATGAATAGCCTTAAACAGTATAGCAAATGGTGAAGGGTAATAATTAATATTAAAAAGTTAGGTTGCGTTGATAACATCAAATCAGAGCAGAGGTTTTGAATTATTTATTTAAAAATAAGAAACTTATAGCACAACGTGAAAATTCATAGAATAACTGAATGATCGTGAAACTCATTGTAAATTGCCCAGTCATGGGTTCCAACACTTAAGTTGCATACGAAAGTTCATCGGAATACGTTAATTACCAGCTTGTGCGATATTGTGTTTATTCGAGCTATATGAGTTTGTTTCTTAATCTTATGTCAGTTTCCCAAACTTGAGGTATGCTATACATGTTTGCCAGTATTTTTTCTTTAATTGGGTTTATTCATTTGCAAAACTTCAAATATTCAAGCCCAATATAAGTTTGGTTCAGCGTATTTTTCAACGCGAAATAAACAATTAAATTAATAGTAATTAATTAAAAAAATAAAATCACTTAATCAAAATATTTCCTTGTTGATTCGTTCTCAAACCGCTCTATCGAACGGGGTCAGGACATTTGAGAGTAAATTAAAATATCGACATTTTTATATGTTTTGAACTTGTAATAAGAAGCCATTGCAATATTACCTCAAGGTAAAGTTTAGCAAAGTAAGTTGTTTAACAGATCCTATAACCGCTACTTCGTTGGAGGGATGGGTAAAAGTGAGCGAACTATTTATCAAAGATGGCGTAACAGGTGAGGATGGTTTTTTCGCCAGCGGCCATCTATATATCACGGATGACAAACGTGGTCGATCAAACAAGCAGTGAATTATTTCGCCGCTTAATGCAATATTTTGCCACTGCCATTTAAATATTTTTGGCTTTGTTTCCACAAAGGGCGTTCAACTCAGGAACATAATAACAGGTCGAATGACTCGGGAAATCTCTAATAGTGGGGAGGCAAATTTAGTAAAATATGTAAAATAACAAAGTTGGCTCACCCCGAAAGGTAACCGGTGAACACTGTGCTAGATGATATTATATAGTAGTAGAGATGATATTCTGACCGGTGTTCACTCTGTATGAGTGGGGCTCTCTTTTCTGGACGCCATTTTCCAAAATGGCGGATGCCAATGTTTGATCTTTGTATAACTCGAGCAAAAATGATCCGATTTTAATGAAATTTGGTATAAACGTTTAAACTTACATTTATTTGAACGAGTTCGTGAACCAGCATGATCGGACCATGGGAGCGGGGGTTTATGGGGGGTTTTATGGGGTAAAAATGGGATTTTCTTATTTTTTGCCTCCAAAGCGCAAGATTTTTGAATTTTTCTCCAAACCATTTTTAAGAACTTAAAAAAACAAATAATTTAGTATATAACGTTTTTTGTACCCTTATTGGTTACGGAGAAAATTAAAAAAAGTGTTAATTTAAAATTTCCTTGTTATTCTTATGGAGGATATTGTCAACTCTTGTAGTTTGCTTGTTTATGGACATATTTTGATCAAACTTGGCAAACTTTTTTATTAATACTAAACTAATATTATTCCACTAACATTCACACTTTATTAGCCTCCCTTCAGCAGCAAACCTACGTACTCGTTGGACCTAATGTTATTAAAAACAAATCAGAATTGAGGAATTGTCTTTGATAGCTATAAAAATAATTCCATTAAATGTGCGACTAGGGCCAAACGCAGAATCAAGAGCACCCCCATTATAAGACGTGACATACGAGATAGAAACGTACCCTTGCCACAGAACTGGAATGGATTTATTAATCTTCTTGAGAATAAAAAAAAGCTGTAGC